TGTCAAAGGATGGGATCGGTTCCTAGTTTTGGTTACATTGGCCCATTTCAGTAGCACTCATACCACTCAATGTAGTTGACAGTGCACTGAACCTAGTGTGTAGATAAAGAATATCATTGAATTGAATAAATGCTCTACTATTATTTATTGACTATCTGTGGACAGAAATTTTGATGAAAAATCAGAATAAAATCAATGAAAATAGTGCTATTTAATTCTGATCGAAATCTGATTTCTCAGCTTTAAAATATAAGTTTCAATAAGTTTTAGTCATTTTTGATTGTATAATATAGTTTTATTGGTCGAAGCAATCGTTTTAAAAATCGATTACGAAATATTAAAGTCAAATGAAATCTATCGTCAAAATTGAAAAATTAGATTGTCATTGTATTTAAGTAGTACCATTTGAATCGATTAACATCAAATTCTATCTTTTCTCTCACATAGAAAGCCTTCCATGAAGAAAAAAAACACTTTCGGACAGACTGTACGGCCGGTTCAGAACAACAATCTTTCGGAGCTCGGTCAGACCTAGCGGTGCATTTCAAGCCTTGGTTTATATATTATTGCTCATATATGCTCGTTTTCACTTTTTTAGTGAGTGCGAATAAGAATTCTCTTTATCTTCTTACAGGGCCACACATTCTCTAATCGTTCTTTCTATTCTAACCAGTAACAAATCTCATGACTTAAACGTTAACACACGTATATTGCTCTATCAGACGACATTCTCTCATATTATCATAACACCTTTTATGACCTGGTACATGAAAATTATGGTATGGTTGTCCAAGAAATGTTCAAGTTTGAAGAAATAAAATCTGTACAAGCTTGATTAGGTATACATGATCTATTTGGTTGGCTTAATGAAATATGGTTCTGTCGATTTAACTGAACTTTGAAAAGAAGTTGCTTTTCAACTTCATAATGGCAAATTTCAAATTAGATTTGGCATTTGCATGAACATCCATTCATTTGTGTAAGCTTTGTGAAATGCAAATGCTTAAAAAAGTTGCAAAATATGTAGACTGATCGCCAATCCAATCGTCTAACAATTTCTTTTAAGAGTTTCTTCTTAAATATCTTCCATTCAATATACTTATTGAATTTTATCTAACATAAGATAATTAGAATAATAACCTTAGTGTTAGTAAATAATGGTGCCTTGCTGAAAAATAAACGCTACTTAATGAAGGCGCTTTATGAAAAAGAGAATGCAGTTACTTCAATTGTAATAGTTAAGTTCTTGTGTATTCTTTCTTTTAACGGAGAAATAAACAGAGTATTAACTGAAATTAACATTTGATAGTAGCCCATGTACCCATCCATGGTGCTAACTGAAGATGCAAATTTGGAGGGTCTATTGGAACGAGTTATTCAGATGAGTATGATCATTATCGAAGAAATTCAGGAACAATGGAAACAAATATATTTCCAACAGCTAATCATTTCAGCACAATCCCCTATGCAATCATCAACAGCAACAAAAGCTGACACATTGATTGATTTGTCATCACGATTAGTTAATAGGATCAATATTAAAGCAAAAGAATACAATGAAACCAACGAAAAAAATGCCGTTACTTGGTTAACGATATTGGAAGAAGTCACGATGAGTCGATTGATTTACGACGATGAAAAAATTTTACCTACTGTGAGCTTGTTAGGTACTATTGCTTTACAATGGTTCGTAAATTTAAAATTGAAAAATCAACGGCCATCATCTTGCAATGAGTTTAAAGACAAATTAAAATCTCAATGTCAATCAATCACTTTTCAAGAACACCTTCGGCAACAATTATTACAATTACGTCAAGAATATTTACTACAGGATTATATTCATTTATTTTGAAGCATTGTTGGTCAAATCACTAATATGGACGAATTAACAGAAGTTATGTTGTCTGTAAACAATTTATCTTCCAGCTCCAGTTTATATGTCCGATCAAAACATTCACAAACAGTAGAACCAGCCATACGTGAAGCAACTATTTACGGCAATGTGATGGCAAATAGTAACAACAATAATGTTAAATGTAATCATTTTCTTGAAATATTTGCCAATGTCGAATTAAATACTATCAATACATGACAAACATCAACGTCAACAACGTTATGCAACACTTTTTAATATATCAACAACGAAAGATGTTTGCTTTAGATTTGGATTATGTTTTTACTGTGAAAAACCAGGCCATCGTGCATTTAATTCCCCAAATAGACTACAGCAACAATCACAACAACATTCAACAGTATCATCTCATAAAAAAAAATGATACAAAGAAGAACTAAAGTATTAGAATTGAAACAACTGCGCTATCTCTTTCATAAGGCGCCTTCATTTACCAACACTAGTCTGTTCTTTTTTGACTGTACTAATTAACAATATCACATAGAAATTGTCATTTTCAAAAATACATATCTCTATAATGAACAAGTGCAAAGATTTGTCAGGTCTTTTTATATAATTACAGCTCGTAATGCATACGAATTCGTTCACATTAATATTTTTGATGCTATACCAACTGTTTCTACTAATTAGTCATCTGTAAGATATTAGTGAGAACCATATCATAGAAAGTGAATTTCTTTTGGATACTCCGAAGTGGGGTTTCATTTTGAATAATGCAAGCATTGTTTTTTGTTTGGAAGGCTGCACTGCTATAATTCCAAAAATAGCATATGATGCTTCTTCAAATACCTTCGTTGTTTTTTACTTGCCTCTTGCTAGGCGAACTTCTGGTTTACAAATGCTATCAAACAGGATCTCTTGCTGAATTAGAAGATTGGTTTTCCACTATGGATAAATCAGTACTTTTCAGTGTGCACATGATACGATCTGTCATGAGCACAGAAAAATCTTCTGCTCCTTTTCTTCTTTCACCTTATCAAACTAATGGCAAGTGCACGTCACTCAACATTATCCAACGATGGATTTAAATATTTAACCAGTGTTTGATAAACTGCCTAAAAGTCATGAAACTTGTCTTAGGCTTTTTCGTCCCATTACTTAATATAATTGGTAATTTGCTTTCAAGATCTTGCTCATGTATATGCGCGAAATTGTAAAATTGTTTACTATCGTCCACTGTTACTGGTGATTGACAAAACTTTAGCTAAATGCTCAAATAATGGCACTACTTCTCAAAGTCAAAAGGGTCTAGAGAATAATTTTTCATTACAGACATATCACTTCAGTTACTTGGAATCAATGTTCATCTCACTCATCTTGCGTTAGAAGAAAAAACTGCCGACAGTAGTTCTTTAAATTTTTCTTTCAAATTTTTAAATGTATGAAAGCACGTTTCGCTCTGCAAAAGCTATATCTGGAGATTTTTTTGTATCCCTTGTTAACTTTTCTGTAATTCAGTGAGAGTAAGATTAATAGCTTAGTCAATGACTTAACAACTACAATTTTTCTTAAGCATCATAAACAGGCTAATACATCAACAATGTCTGCAATTGTTGCCATGATATGGTCATTGATGAAAAACGATACTCAATGAATCATCTCATATATTTTTGACGGCAAATACAATCGATGAGTATACTTTCAAAGATATAGAATCAAATTTTGAACCTGAGGATCCTTTTTGTCAAGATAACTTAATTGATAAAGCAAATGACAACATCAATAACAACCATCATTCAAGTGTTTACAATCTCGACAATGTTACTCGTGATTCTTTTGTTAGTGTTCAAATCTTCGGTTTGATACAAGCTGCAAAATCCCGGCCATATTTTAAAGTTCGAATTGGTAGAAAAGAAAAATTTATACATAAATAAGCATCCTACTAGGTCTTTACAGAAGAAAACACTTCTTTACCGAACGATCGATTGTGATGAGTTATTCGAGAAAATAAAAGTCTATAGTTAACTTGAATACTGTTGTTGATTTTGCGTTTTTACTTTCTTCAAATACAATAATCTTAAAGTAATTGATATTTTCTCGATTTAGTATTATTCAAGAACACTTTGTCAGATTAAAGATTCAATGGTGACTCATTCTGCTGATAAAACATTTGGAAAATGTCAATGTTTATAGTAATATTCAGAAAAAGTAACAGATTTGAGATATAAAATAGATGACTTTGATGATTCTTAAAATGCTGTAGTCATAAAAACCATTTCAAGTTACTAAAATAAAAAAGTCACAAACTCAGTCGTTTTTCTCTTAACTATATGACCAAAAATACGATCGTATTTCTCCTTATCGCATAATGAGAAATATGATCACTTACGGAGTTCTTATACGACTTATGATTTACTAAGTACCTCTCTGTAAACGATCGTATTCCTCAGTAAACGACAAGAAGAAATGCGATCGTAATACTCAACCATGAAATATAACATAATACAGTCGTATGGTGTTAAATACAGAATGAATAGGAATTTCATATTTTTCGTTCAGGAATACCACTCGGTTAATTTTAATCCTTATTTGTACATTCTTTTATTGTTATCCTACACAGTCATTAGTGGTATTATAGTTTTAGCTATCAGATGGTTATTTGTACATAGTATCCGTACAGTAATTAATAGCACAGACACCATATATATTCCAAACAAATCAGTCAGCATAAATAAGTAGCTGAATATTTATTAAATAATGTTCGAGATTCAATAGCTATTCACTCAGAGAGATTAATAATAACTAAATAGCTGATTGTTTATTAAAATTAAATATACCCCAATAAAATTTTTCTTGTGCATCTTTATTTGCTACCTTTTATCAACTTTCTCAATAAAATAATTATATTCTTTTCGAGAATGAGCCGTTATATAGTGAGACAGCAAATAACTTTTTCGAGTTTCATTAACTAAAGACACAGTCGGTCAACTGGAGTAATTCAAACATAAGCATACCCACCCGAATATAAGACATGCTAACTTTGGATTTGTGTTTTTGTTTCATCTCAAGTTTAATATTTAAAAAAGGATTAGAATTTTCTTTTTCGATATTCATGTACTTATAGAGTCTGTAGAATTCGACAAAAATGTTTAAAAATATCTTGTAAAAATATGTAGAAAACAATATTTCGATAGACCTTTTTTTTACAAATTGCTAAGTAGTTTATATACCTTGTTAGGTCAGAGGTCAACGATTGGATTCAATTATTTCTTTTATGTGCATCGGCTATGTACATATGTTTGTCATTAAAGATAAAACTCTTATCAACATAAAACAAAGATGCAAAAAGGTTATTTTTATACTATTGATTAGAGCGCTGATAAGACAAAAAGAAATAAAAGCTTCAAATATATATGCGATATTTTGTCGTTTCATTATCTAAATTCTGTATTGAAAGAGCATGGCAACTATATTATTGACTTATCTTTTGCTTATTATTCCTGTTAATGGTCAATCACCGTGCGATGAAATATCGTTTGTTGATCGAGCTGGGTGGGGAGCACGAAAACCAACTTCAATAACAAATCTAACAAGGAAACCTCTTTCATTTTATGTTATACATCATACTTATCAACCTCCAAAGTAGATATATTCGATAAACAATTATTTAACTAAATTCATTATTTCTAGTTGTTATGATGATGTATCATGCATTCAACGAGTACAAGCTATTCAAGATTTGCATCAAATTGATCGAGGATGGGTAGATATAGGTTATCATTTTTTAGTTGGTGAAAATGGAAAAGTTTATGAAGGTCGAGGATGGGACCGTCAAGGCGCTCATGCACCCGAATGGAACGATGATGCATATGGTAAAACATTATTATCTACTATTTACAACATTCGTTTATCTATTTTTAAGGTATTTGTATCATTGGTGACTTCAGAACAGCATCTCCAAATGAAAAAGCATTAAATGCGGTAGATTCATGGATTAGGTGTGGTATTGCACTAGGCCATGTCAAAAAAGATTACTATATTATTACTCATCGACAATCACAACGACCAGGTTATACAGAATGGTAAAACATTTTATTATCTAACGAGGGAATCTTCGCCAATTTGAAAATCACTTTTGAATTCTGACTCTGAATGAGCTATACTTCGATCAACAAAGCTCTAAAAGGATAAATGCACCTTGACTTTCTCCACAAAATCATAATCGTTCTACAGAAGTTTTAATCCATAACACGTTATGCACAAAAGAATCGAATACTGATATTTTGTCCATAGATAGGCCTACTTGTCACTGGCACGTCCTGAAAATTTCATTTAAAAAAGAGCGTTTCTTTCACAAGATATTGAATTCTCAAAAACACATGAGATTCTCGAATCTTTTGTGAAACATGAGTGAGTTTTGCGAATTCAATATCTCATGAAGAGAACATTTTTTTTTGAGCTGATACTCTCCAAACATTCTAGTTACAGATAATCCTATCGATGGACAAAACTTCAGGTCAAACTATTATCATTCAATTCTATTGTACAGATCGTTTAACAGATTGAAATCTCAGTAAAAAAAAAAGATACAACTCTTTAGAGAAGGCCTAAGAATCCTTATCTTTTTTTTCGAGTTTTTAACACCTCATCGGAGTCTATTATATGCACAGAGTTCGAACTCTAAAGCAATTTTCAAGTTTGGAAAGATTCCTTACAAGTATATGTTTCATTCTAATAAATCTTTTACTTAGCCCTGGTGATGGTACATTTAATGTCGTAAATAAATGGTCACGATTTTGTTCATTTCAAAATTCTGGAGCTAATTTAACTGTAAATGAAACACGAGTATCTCTTGGTCTTAATTTCTGCGAAAAAGAACTTGGATTATCCTCATCTGCTCCAATACATTTGTTTACGCCAATTGTTTTATTTCATCTTTTATTAACTTATTTGTTCTAAACAAAACTTTTTCTTATTTTTTTGTTCATTGCGTTCGAAATTTTATTTAATAAATATACTATCGAAAAAAACAAGCAACAACAACAACCATAACAATAAGATAAACATAATTTTAACGTCAATTACAACCAAATATGTATTGAATTTGTATATGTATCAATATGTAATTTAAATTCATTTAAAATATTATGTCGTCGAAACCAATCATACATATCTTGTGTAGTAAAATTCTTTTTATCATTATCACATTCAAGACCAATATGAAGATATTGAAGTGATGTCATATGCTGCATAAATGATGGAATAGCATCACGAAAATCTTCAAAATGTGGTAGACAAGCTGAAAATGTTTTTAAATGAGGAAAACTATAACGTATGGCTTGTACTGTTTCATATGACATAACACCATCATATAATAAATTAAAATGTTGAAGACGTTGACTTAATAATAATAATAAACGTTGATTTTTTGCTTGAAATATTTGTTTTATTAATAAACGATGATTACTTGTTATGGTCAGTTTAGTCATGTTTGGAAGACCTAAAGAAAGTAGAGAAATTGTTCTCATATTCAAATTCATTTCCCTAGTGAGTTATTCTGCTTTAATTGAAAGTATAATTTATAATTAGATTAGTGAGAAACCGAACGCTTGAGAACTGAAAACAGAAGACATACAAACGAATTTTTTTGTTACAATCGGGGTATCTTCTATGTACTGAGCATATGCACTATCTATATATTAGGAATTTGTATTGGAATCATCCTTCTCGAATTACGAATACAATAGTATCAGTATACAATAATGAATTATGAATGAATACAAAATCCCAAAGATCTTTGGATCAAGTCCAAAAGTATTACTGTTCAAGAACAAGAACATGATGAGTCAAATTTTCATAATGATAACTATTTTAAACTTTAATAAATGTGACTAGAACAACAATTGTAAATTGTTATATATGTGTCCTTCGATTGAAATGTATCGTTTTCTTTTTGGTGAAAAGATAATGGTTGTTTTAAAAATATTGTTTAAATACTTGTGATCCCAATATCCTTGTAACTTGGAATCGAAACCAACTGTTTTTAGTCCTAATTCTGAATTAATTCTCTAGCAATATTAATAAATTCAAAGATATGCAACCATCATACATTGATTCATCTAAATCTAATATCGTCCTCGTTTACACAAACTTTTCAATATTTATTAATATACGTTTCCCCTCTTTGCATGAATACTAATCGCTCTTGATTTATCAACATTTTAAAGATGATCGTGTCTATTTCGGATATTTGAAAAGATGTTTTTCTTCAAATAATAAATTTTCAATAAACTTACGTGAAACAAGTTCATTTAATGTTATTACATTATGACATTTACCATTTAATGCTAAATGTTTAATATGACTCAGATTAATTATTTTTTGAATATATTTTGCAAATAAAGCACTTGATACATGTTGTTCAAATCGTATTGTTAATGTATCAATACTTGGAAAATAACGTGACAATTTATCTAATTCATATCCCAACTGCTTATTATTATAAATCGTTAAAAGTAAACGACTAACATTTCCATATGTATTTTTAATAAATGATGGATATGTCGGATTTGTTGAAGGTAAAATAATATCAATTGGATTGCCCCATCTTTAAAAGAAATTTAAAATTGATATCAAAGGAAGATTTTTGGAAAAAAAAGACAAACAACGAAAATCAAAAACAAAATATATAAAAAAATTCTTACTTACTGGTTAGAGAATTTTTTATCAGGATATGGACTTGAATAAAAAATTAGATGAAGATCATTTTTATCTTGATAAAAATCTGTTACAAATCTTATCTGACGTTCAATCCAAAAAGAATTATTTTTAAATAATAATAATTCAGGATAAAGTTCATCGAAATCTACTGATGTTAAATGCCATAATTCACTATACAATTGAAATTTTTTTAATAATGGCCAATAACTACTAATAATCATTTGCCATTTATCACTATTAACATAATCAAAACCTATTTGAAACAAAAATTGTTTATCTTAAAAACTCAGTGTTTTTATTCTAGCGTATAAAAAATACTTTGAATTAGCTATCCCTTTATGAATTTCAAATTTCTACAAACCTTCGTCACATATAATTGATAACGAAAATTTTTGAATTTTTTCAAACGAAGGAAATATTATTAGAAGATAATCAAATGGAATACTAAATACACGTAGTTTTAAATCTCTAATTGATATTGGATTTTCTATTAAATTATTTGATGATAATATTACATTACGTGACATTGAAAGCATATTTATTGAAAGTTTTTTCAATAAACAAAAATGATTAAGTATATTAATAAAACATAAATAATCACATGAATCAATGATTAAATTTTGCATAAATGAATATGAATTATTTGAAATAAAATCTTGATGAAATTGACTTAAACAACAATAATCTATTGATGATTTTGAATAAAGAATTTTTTGTATTGTATCCATGTCAAACGAATACATATCTTTTGATTGAATATTAAGCATTTTTATATTTGATAAATCATTAATTATAATATTTAACTCATTTGATGATGGTTCAATTAAACATAAAGATTTTAAACATTTAAAATCATATTTAAATGAATATTTTTGAAGAAAACTATTTATTTCACCAGGTGTTTGTTGATTTGATAATGTTAAGGAATAAATTACATTCGAATAACATGAAATAACATTTGTTACAGCAAAATTATACATAAATAATGGCAAATGAGCAAGAGATATATTTAAAATCGATGAACGATGATATTCATCTTGTCGTATTAAATACATATCAGTTAGTATTGAATGTATGCGTACATTATTTATATTATTAAATGCATAAAAAACTTCCAATGGTGATAAATATGATAGAATAAGAAACCATAATTCGCCAGGTAAATCTTCGAATTTCATTTCTAGAAAATGAATTAATATTGCAAAACAATGAATAGGAAAATAATGTCGAATTAGTACTAAGAAAGATTTTTAATTCACGAAAAAGTGATAAATCATCTTTCTTGTTAATGTCAATCCTTTTAGCGCATAATAAATGTGAAAAGTTGATTCTTTTAAGACGGAGAAACATGATTCGAGTATAAATTACTTTAGTCTATGAGTACGATGCTTTACATAATGTTTTAAAACTTGTTGTCAAGCAAAGATTACATTACATTACGTCTAATATTAAATGATTAAGATTCAATAGCAAATCATTATGCAAAAGCTGAGTTATCAATGCATTTTAAGCCTAAAGCAGCAGTACTCACCATCCAGAAGTCGAAAACTCAGCAGCTGTTTAGGTGAAACTCAAGGCATTCTACAATGCGAATGACTTGAAATTAGGGATGCACCGGTTCCGGTTCTGGAACCACAACCGGAATCGAAACCGAAACCGATAAGAACTGATTGGAACCGAAACCGGTGGAACCGAAACCGGAACCGATAAGAACCGAAACCGACAGGAACCGGTCGGAACCGAGACCGGAATCGGTCAGAACTAGGGATGTAACGGTGACGATAACCGGAGGTACAGTTAATGGTTGAAATCGGTTGTCAAGAAAAACAGCATTTTTTAAGAAAACAATGATATTTTATAAAAGTTGACGAAAATAAATCGAGGTTGGAGAATCCGAATCTGAAGTCGGCTTTTGACAATTTTCAGTTTTAGTTTTTCACATAGAATATTTTTCAAGGATAAAGTTTTCCAGAAAAAAAAGATGACTTTCAAGGAGCGGTTTAGTCTATGGAAGAGAAAATTGAAAATCTCAAGGATTTGATTTCAGATTCGGATTCTCCAACCTCGATTTACTTTCGTCAACCTTTATAAAATATCGTTATTTTTCTAAAAAAGCTTTTCTTTTCACAAAAAAATTCATTTCGAAATTTTGAAAAACTGACTTCAGATTCGGATTCTCCAACCTCGATTTATTTTCGTCAACTTATAAAATATCATTATTTTCTTAAAAAATGCTGTTTTTCTTGACAACCGATTTCAACCAATAACTGTACCTCCGGTTATCGTCACCGTTACATCCCTAGTTCTGACCGATTCCGGTCTCGGTTCCGGTTTCGGTTCTTATCGGTGCCGGTTCTTTGGAATCGGTAAAAACCGGAACCGTGCATCCCTACTTGAAATATTGTGACACACAACACCACCGAAGGAGTTACAAGCATCGGCATGTACAATCCCAAATCAAGACCTCCAAACAATAGATTCCGCTTGATTTTCTTGAATTCTTTGGATTTTGAAACATACAAGGCATTCTTCAAAAAAAAGCTTGAAACACTGTCGCACATAACCCCCACTGACGAAGTTGCAAATATTGACACATGAAGTCCTGATGTAGGTGTTTCAAACACTGAACGTCATTTGATTTCCTTGAAATTCCATTTTCTGAACAGTAGGTATATCTCCTCAATGAGATTTGCTTATTGAGCAAGTTGTAACTTTTCTAGTATCTCGTATCATGAGATATTCAATATTCGAAATTCTGTTTTCTTTTTATCCAGTTAGACAGACTGATTAGTCTGATGTTGATATATAATACTACTGGCATAGTCTATTTGTAGAGTAGTTTTTCCAAAGCTCTTGATTTAAGATGTGAAAGCAGAATTTAAAATGACAACTTGTGTCGTTTTTGACCTATACGTAGTGAATAATGTCATTCCACTACCGTTTTTGAATAACTTTTTATCGATACAAGATAGAGACTTGTGGCATATATTATGGTCTTTTTTCTAGACAAGATTTCAGTCACAGGAGTGGATAATTTCGAATATTAATATAGTAACAACATAGTTGCGAAAAACCATAAAAAAATAAATTCAATTTTTATGTCATTGAAGATCGATGAGTCATTTTGGCCCACTTCTCATCTTCATAGTGAAATGACTTCGTCCATATTTAACTATATTTGTGTCAAAATTAGCACCTGTTGACATGATGTCCATGGTCGGCTCAAGAGCACTCTTATTGAAGTGAGTACAAGGCGGTAAAAAACTAACCATGAATCGGGAGATCAAGTTTTACTTATATCATACTCAAACATTCGAAATGATAAACTGCATTGATATTTTTTTATCATATTCTCTGTGTAAATATTCCATATATGATAGGATACTAATGAAACAAAAAAAGACAAAAAAATTACATTTTTATTTCTTGCATGTATATTGATATATATATCAACAATTTGAAAATTTTTCTATAATAATTCACAAATACTGAATAATATATTGATTAAAAAAATAGAATTAAACAAGTTCAAAATCATCATCCGAATTTAAAGACAGCACTAGAAAAAGAAAAAAATACTTTAGCCACACGTTTGATATGTTTCATAGATTTACCTTCATGTTGTTCCATTTGTTTTGCAAGAGCATCAAATGGATTCGTTTCACATATTTCGAACATTGGTCTCGAAGGAAGATTCTAAAATATTTTATTTTCATTGGAAAAATTTTTTGTTCCTAATTTACCTGTCTTAATTTCAGAATTAAATCATCGAATTCACTTTCACTTTTACAAGCAAATCCCTATAATGAGAGAACAAAGTAATTAGATTATACATAATAACTTTCTTACTAAGGCAAGAGATGGATCAAGTCCAGAAAATTTCATTCTATTAATTCTATCACAATGATATGATGAATCATCTGAATTAATAGGTGGATCTGCATACATCTGTGTTACATGCGGATCTAAATATAAAAGTTCATCATTTTGTAAATAACCAATAAAATAATGTGCATGATTAGGCTTTCCACCAATAAATCCAAGTGTTTGTGGTAAACAAAAGCATAACTTAAAAACACAACATTAATTCTCATTTATTAATTCAATTTTTTCCCTTACTTTTAATTGATCAATATATTCCATATTAACAGCATTTAAACCTAATCTTAACGGAATAATAATAACTAATGGTTTCCAAGTATTTTGTGAATCAGTTGACTTTTTTATTAAATTAGGAATATTTGAATTAATTTGACATACATTTCCTAAAGAGAAAAATGTTTAATTTTCTGAAACATGATCTCAAATGAATGTTGAATTATAAGGGTAGAAATTCGGAGCAATTTCACAGACATGAAAGATATCTTAGGGAAGCTCCGATTCTCTGTATCACAGATACAATTCTAGAAATATGATAGACGCCGTAGCAATGCTCTTTTCCACCGTGATAGACCCCTTAGCTAACACTTCTGTCACCTGCATTAGAGAATGTTTATGAATGATGTCTCGTTATAATAATATGAACTATTTCCTTATTGGATTTCTGCAGAATTAAGTAAACGAATGGTGAAATGTGTTAAATTTTTTTTTTTTTATAAATTAATTCAAAAAGAAACTAACGTATTTCATTAAGTACAAGTGTATTATCCATTGCAACATGTACATGAACTTGTTTATCGAATTCATTTGAAGCAATTCGTCTAAATAGACCAACAAAAAAATAATCAATTCTAACTTTGTTTTACATGAAATTTTAACTACCGAAGCACTTGAGCTATTGTATTTGGACCAAACCACTGCCCAATTGTCTTGCCTTCAGAATTTCCCATTTGAACTAAAACAGATATATAACAAAACACACTTTCAATAAACTCACTCACTAACTCTACAAACCGATTTGATGTATGGAATACGATGAATGACGTTTATCAATAAACATATTTAAAATTTCCCAATACATCGGATCAGTTATATTTGGACGCCATCGAAAATCTTTGTAATAAAAAAATCGCAGTCTCTTTTTTTTCATAAAATATTTATTTTTTTTACATACATCTTCCAGCTGGTAGAAAAAATCGAAGATAAGCTTCAGCTAACATCATTTGTCCACAACGCATCATACAACCCCATCCTGCATCTTTTGTCGGACCCGATGGACCACCTAAATACACATATATTTATTGTTCGCATTCTTTTCATTGAATATTTCATACCGATTGGAGCAAATCCACTTCGATATGTAAACCAAAATCTACTTATAATATCATCAGTTATAGCATAAGAATCTAATCATAATAAAAAAAAGTAAAATTTTTAATAATAAATTCTCATTTTCAAAAAAATTTACCGTTCGGAGTTTTATATTTAACACCAAGAATATACAATTCGGTATGCATCTCAGATAGATTAATATTATCAGCACCATTTCTTTCAAACATCGACGCGGCTAAACTAAGGGCTACAAAAAAGGAAAAATTTTCAAAAAATAAAAACTTCACCTCTGTTTTTTTTACTTATTCTCACCCGCACTATTCATTGTTCGCAACAATTTATATCGATAAACATAGAACCTTGTATAAAAATAAGCCTCTCGGATGAGAGTAAGAAATTTTGAATAAAAATGAAATTTATAACAAACAACAATTAGTATAAACAGTAGAACAAAGACTAACAACATGTAAATATTGGAGTAATCATGCACAGAAGTCGAACAATTATTTAGATTGGTATTATTTATTATTCAATTAAATTGATGTCTGTCAAACCATAAAAAATATTCCTCCACAAAAAAACAAAATAACGGAATAGAAAATGAATCAGAATCATATATAAATAGATAACTCTTTTTTTTATGATAAAAAACGAGGTCGCTAGCTATCGACAATATTAGCTTAAAAAGTCAGTTTCACTATATCGGACATTTTCTAATAATTAAGATAAATAGCACAAAACTAAATATAAATAGAAAGGTCTGCTGTCATTATTCATTAGTTGTTTTTTATATTAATGATTTTCACATGCTGTTCCATGACATTTTGGAACTGATGGTGGTACATCCATAGCTGCACTACCAGCAAAAAATCCAAAAGGTTGTAAACGAAATCCAACAATTTCAACAGGCATAACAGGCCAATCTTCAGGCCGAACAACATGATTTGTACCAAATGTATACCATGTAACAAGATCACATTCAACTAATGATTCATCTTTATGTTTTTCACTATAAACAGCAACACCATCATCACCTTTAGATTGATTAGGAAATTGACCACCTGCAAAAAATTCTTCCGGATGATATCGTGTTCCCCATAAATGATAACGTGCCAGCGCACTTCTACCACCTTGTGTAGAATCTAAATCACATAATGGATAACATGCTGGACCAGATGGTACAAGTTTATAACCAACTGGTTGATTAACATGATTTTTAACTTTAGGATTAATTATTTTCCAAAAACGTCCTTTTGTTGCATCATGTTGTCGGCGTGCTTCGCCAACAGTTTCTAAAACTCTTTCTTTTGCTATCCAAGCATTACCTTCTGGATTATCTGGTCCTCTTGGTAAAGGTTCACAATTAATTTCAACAAGAGAATTATTTATTCCATCAAGCATCCAATCAATACGCATATTAAAAAAATGTTGATGATGTGGACCATATAAACCTTCAGCTACTAATCCACCGGATACCGGTGTTTGTCCACTTTCAATTGCACCTGGAAAAGAAAACCTTTTTTTTTTGTTTTGTTTCCTCTAATGAAAGATATTCTTTCTCTTTTCTGTTTACCTGGTGCAATAATTCCAGTAAGTTTGGCTTCAAAATGAATTGCACCATCTTGTAGAAAATACCAAAATAGACCATATTCATAGTTACCTACCGTTATTATAGATGAAACAACAAGACGTCTTAAACGACGACAGTGCGAGCGTTGAGTAACAAATCTAATATGAAATATTATTCCTTATAAAATATAAATAAATAATTTCTTCTACTCAGTATGTTTCCAAAGTATTCCAATATCTTCTTCATGAATACAAACAGCATTTTTTAGCAATATTGCTTGACCTTGATTATTATTAATAACAGCATCCAAATATCGAATTTCACCGAGACAATCACATCCAAGTACTAAGCTATTTGTCAATAAACCCATACCAGCTTCACCAACATCATATGCATTTTTATAACTATGTCCACGACTACTATCACCATACGGTACCCACATTTCACTAATAGCTGCTCGATAAAGAATAGGTCTCCAACGATTTTGATCAAAATATTCAACCATATTTAATGTAAGACCTACAAAAGAATTTTTGTGAATAAAATAAATTCTTTAAAAAAACAGTACTCTTAACCTTCACGAGCATTAAATCCAACTCTAAGACGCCATTTTTGCCATGTAATTTCATGATCATTTACTTGAAATGATGGACCCTCTGGTTGAGTTATAACATATGGTTTAAGATCTTTTCGAATACCATCAGGAAAATAAGGTACATTATCTGGTGATTTAATACCTTCAGGATCATAATTAGCCGATTTTGGAGGTACCGGTACAATCATATAATCTTCAACTTCAACAGTAAATGAATCTAAATCAACAGTTATAACAATACCATCAATATGATGAGCATAGTAATTATCATGCTCCCATTTTTTAACTGCAGCATATGGACGAAATATTCGTCGTTTTGATGCTGAATCTTGTTCATCACGATAACCAGATGAAAATGGATAAAAAACGACATCATCCATTTTAATATTTCGTTTAGTAAGTGCAGCTAATAAAGATTCACTTGCACGTAATGCATTATCAGCTTCAATCATTTCATCAAATGTTAAACTTGGTTGAACATTTTTAAATTCAGTAAAACTTTCAATAGATTTTTTTGTTAAATCAACAACAACCATGTATGTTGTTCGACCTTTTGGATCCCGAACTGTTGCAACTGCTGATCGTTTTAGTGGATCATTTGGTTTAAAATTAATAACATAATTTTTATCTGCAGGTTCATTTGGCGTAATTGATATAATACGCATATAACTTTGAAATTTTGATGATTCTTTAAGTAAACGTGTTGTTAAATTAACTTCATCTAATTACAAAAGAAACAAAACAATAAATTCAGATGATTTTTTCAATTATAAACGTGACGATTTATTCTATGACGAAAAAAAAACTTTGACCTAGTTTATTTTTTTATATTTATTCTCATGATATTTACCAGCATTTAATGGATCAAGTGGATGTTGTATTGGTGGTGAAACTCCATCCGGAATAATATGTGGTTCTGAAATGTTTTCTTTTTCATCTGGATGAGTTGGAACTAGTGGAGGATGCGCTGCTAATTGTTCTTTTGCTGCTTGATCACCATTAGTTATTGTTGGATTCTCCATATTGTTTTCCTTGAATAATCTAAATTTCAACAGAAAAATAATCTAATATATAATCTCTACTTTTGCTCATGTGAGAAAAAACATATATGCGTGCATTCCTTTTATAGACTTACGCAACCACTACAGATTATTTGCAAGGCCTCGAAGCTACCTCTTATCGTGTTATATACTTTACTTCGTTCTTTGACTAGTAGTCTTTTTCTGCGTTATGAAGGAAAAAAAAACGGCCGTCAAACTGACGAATACTGTTTTAGGTCATGCTATTGCTTATCTTTATTTTTTTTTCATGATGATAAGAAACCAATACATGCAATGTAAATAATGACATTTGTTTTTTTTTTATTTTAATAAAATGAATGACTAGGAAAACAAAACAAAACAAAATAAAAATTAATTTAAGCTAAAATTAAAACAACTTCGGTATTATTTTTATTCGAAATTATTTTAGGATATTCTTCATAAAATGTACTAACATATTCGTTAGCAAGAATATGTTGATCAATAAAATAATAGTCATTTAATTTAATTGAATCAGTTGTTGATATTGTTGATGGTGTACGTTCATGTCTATTAATTGTAAATATAGATTGATTTGAACATAGATCTTTTTCTTTTTGTAATGTATGTTTAGATGTATTATGTACTAAACACCATAATAAAAAAAGAAATAATATGAAAAGTAAACTTATTAATAGAATAAGTATTAAAATATATTGATTTGAATCATTATTATTTAATATATGTATTGATTTTGAATTTAAACAACGTTGTAAATCATATGAACAATTTGATGTTGTATCAATACAATATTCATTATTTCGATAGAGTTTTAATGGTATTGTACCTGAACGACATAAACATTTTTTTTCATAACATATTGATGTACGTTTATTACATTTATTACATGATGTTATATTATTATTATTTATTGAATTTTCATATTCAATACGAAAATTAAATAAATCATTAGATTTTAATTGATATATATTTGAATTCAATCGAAATGAACAATTTGATAATAAAAGATTATATTCGCCTGTATAAAGTAATGGAACATTAGTCATTGATAAAATTGTTTTTGAATTTAAATATGTTCGTGTTGATTCATAATTTCTTTTTGTTAAAAAATTTGTTATTGTTGATGAACATTGTGTAAATGGTAAATAAGAATTTGAATAAATATTTTTTGGATATTTACATCGAACAAAAAATGGTATTAAAGCAACAGTTTGAGATAAATATGTATATATATGGCCGGGTATCAATGAATTATTTGATGATAATGAATAAACAGCTTGAATATGTAATGTATGAGAATCATTTGATGACCATAGAAGATTTAAGTATTGTTTATAGAGATCTATTGAATATGTACAATTTTCAAGATAGATTATAGTTGATGCTTGACTAAGAGTAAAAGCTGTTAGAAGTACAGACCAATATACTAAGCTCATTTCTTTCTAAAATAGAATATCAGATAGTCGATCAGTTCGTTGAAAAGAAAAAAAGAACTTGTATAATGCTACCGATAGAGTATAATAACGAGCACGTATATTCAATCTATGTTTGTACATGTATTGTATGCATGTATGCACACACAATGTTCAAACAATCATGCAGCCAGTTCTAGCCACTTGAATTGAACAGTACGCGCGGGTATACCTACATATAGAATATACTGGCCTTGCATGGGGCTATAGTCTGAGAGAATCGATTATTAAAGAACAGAACAATAGACGAGAATAAGAGAGGGTCGTTATTATTGTTTCATTTGCATGACTTGTTGCCGGTCAACTGATCTTCAATCTCTAATAGATCAATCTTTCGTAATAAAAATAAAATAATTTCTAATCTACAAAAATAACTCTGCATACTTTAAAAAAAAGAGAATATCAATGAATATAATCTTTTTCTTTATTTCTTAGTAAAGACAAGTAATCGATGTTCACTCGGCATCAGCTTGAGAACAGTCATTTCGTTCCTATACCTTAATGTTTCTTCTGTCTATATATCTCACGGATGACAAACCCATATAGCACAGCTTGCATACATTAATGACTAAAAAAATTTTTTTTTTGTTCAATCTCTTCCTAACATTCACATGAATTATATGTATGCATATGGTACCGAGGATTCAAAAAAAAAGAAGCAATTCAATTACTTTTCATTTTATATCCATTCTTTCTCTCTTCTGTATGTGTTCATCAAACAAATGAGCCACTTCACACTTATATGAAATAGACATACTAGTAGCAAAACAGATTCTCCAATTGATGAAATTTGAGTAGTTGATGACAAGAGAAATAAAAATACATAAAGAAAGGCAAATCGATCAATTGTCAAGTGAGCCATATAGAGAAATAATCATAAAGAATAAAATTTGAGATGAGATTAAACGAATGAAGTATAAGTACGTTTTGTCATCAATGAAAATAATGAATATTAGGACATCATCTGTATTAGTACTATTTATACTTCTATATATTTTTTTTTCATTTATGTCTAATAGCTTCAGGCATTCGGTCAGATAAATAGAGTTCAATATTTTATTCAAACGATTTATCCAATGAAAACAAATTTTCTCAATTTGGAATACCTTTTGTAGCGGTTCTGGTGTCGTTTTTTTCCAAAATTGTTTTGATTCATTGTCGAATAATTCTAATGTTTGGGATTTTTTATGCTCTTTGAAGAAAGTACTGAATTTAAAAAATCCAAAACATGCTGTCAGATATAATTTAAAGTCATTATTTGTATGAATTCTTGATTTAAAAGAAACTATCGACACTGGAAGAATTATTACATGATTTATAAGCCATTTTTGAAAGGTTCGTTGACAATAAAGACTAAACCATGAGAAATAATATGTACTTGAAACGGTGTCACAGCTGTTTCTTTTTCTTTTATGGCTCATCTGATACAGTATTTATTCGTTAGTGAAGATTTCAAGTATAATAAAAGATTCTTGCCTTGACTCAAATACAAAATTGAACTTCTAAAGTACATAGCATCCCCATCAGCTAAAGTCAGGCATTTCTTGTCTCATATTTTGGAATTAAGATTCGAAGAAAATATTGAGTGTCAGTTTTAAGTCGAAGCTTTGCAGCTTCATCCTTCGTCTCATTACAGACTTTAGCAACTGGTATCAAAGCCGTTGAATGACATTAACAACAAGGCTAAAAAGACCCTTCACTGAAATTTAGATAGTCAGGACACATTTTTCAATATTTTAAATAATATAATTCCTGATTTTTGCGCAGATAAACGATTACATGATAGATATCAAGGATGATGTTTTGATTTTCCACAGCTGTTATAGGGTGAACAGAAAAGCATGAACTGATTAAGTTCTATTTTTCGGAAATGATCAATATCAGCGATACATAAAAAAACGTCCAGATCTGCTGTAGATATAACGAATATGTATAAAAGGCTTCTTTGTCTATTAAATCAATAGTTAAATTAATAATAATAATAAATACTATGCGAATAGGAACAAGGCAAATAAAAAGAAAGAAAATTTATGTTCGAAAAGGTAAAAATAAACAAGACATAGCTCTTGCTGATAATCAATTATCGTTGAAAAAGAACTATCGTCTTTTAGAGATTTTATATCTAGCATATTTTGCAGTAGTATAATAAATAGGGAACTGCAAAGTGGTCCCGGTCCCGGTCCCGCCGGGACCGGGACCGGGATCAGGACTAAAAATTTTTCATACTGGTCCCGGTCAGTCTTTTATACAATGTGTCGCCATTTATCTTATTTTTTTGACAATAGTAATGGCGATTCAGTATAAATAATCAATTCGATAATAAATCCATTAGATAGAACAGTAGATATAAAAGAAGAGAGAAATGAGTAAATGACTACTACGAAGTACATGAGAATTTTTAACAAAATTCAATGGTTATTTTTATTTATTCGAGTTTTCAATGAAATTCGTTCACTTTAACACTGGATATAAAAGAATTCTCGTACTGTTAACGAATCAAAATCATTCATGCAATTTTATGTATTTATAAAAGTACATAGATCGTAAAAAAAATTGTTCGATTTTAGGAATGAAGCTAATGTCAAAGACCGGGACCGGGACCGGGACTAAAAAAAGTGATTTTGCAGTTCCCTAATAATAAAGCTAAAGAATACATGTGAGTAGCTCCAAATAAATTCCACTAACAAGTTTTTATAGAAAACTTTAAAAGAAAAAGCTGATGGATGCGTTACAGTAACATTTTGGTGATACGTTATCATGAAAACAAGTTTTGCAACAAAAGATTAAACATTATAAAGTTTCGTTGTTTTTGAAAAATAAAATTTTCGAGTATGGGATAATGCTTAAGCATGATTTTCTGCGAGTAACACATCAGAATTTCTTGTTTTTTAAAATATCTTATAGTGGATGGTGAGTTTAGTAATCTCGGAATTGTTCAGCTCGCTCTGATCGTTTTTCCTAACTCAAAATATCGACAAAATTTTTAATGATAATTGTTAATGATTTCAACTATTGCATATGAAGTTTGAGAAACTTTCTATAATTAGACACAATATATTGATAGCTCAAACAACGTCATATTTAACCCTTTGTGACATTTTGTTAGAAAAATGTCGGTCGAGTGCATTTTGATACAGCAACGGCGACATATTGTTCTATTTTGATTAGTGATAGTGCTCTAAAAATTCTATCATCTAATGAATTAAATAATATTTCCCCATGTGAAACAGCAACCAATGTTAATCAAAAATCATCTTTTTTTCTCATCATTTATCGCATACGTTTGAATGTGCTGGTATAGACTCCTTTGATTAAACTCTATTGACTGGTTAATGTTTTTCTGTTTAGTTATATTTTTGTTCTGTGACGAATTGGATGATGATATAGAATTACTGAAATCAGATCTTCGACATATTGAGAAAAGTGTCATTTCCATACAAAACTGCATAAAAAAGAGATGTATTTCTAGATTCTAATTTACAAAGTTGATTTTTAATAAAAAAAAAAATAAACATAATATTCGGAATCAGCATGTAAAACTACACCAGAAAATATATTTTTCATCACAAAATATTTCTTATTGAAACTTCATCCGTAGGGGGACTACAGGGTAAGACTATACAAGTGAAGGAGTATAGTAAAATTTTCATTAAAAATATTTCAAGATTAAATATATATATATTTCGGTGTAGTTTTACACACTGATTCCGAATATTTGGTTTCCTTTTACTAAAGCTCAACTTTTGGCAATCAAAGTCTGGAAATACCTCTCGTTTTTTATTCTCTTTTGTATGGAAGTGACACTTCTTTCAACATGTCAAAGGTCTGGTTTCAGTAATTTTATATCGTCATGTCATTCGCAGCGCAAGAAAAAGATATCTAAATAAGAGAACATTAACCAACCGAGAAAGTTTAATCAAAGAAGTCAATACTAGCACATTCAAACATATCTGATGAATGATGAGAAAAAAAGATTAATTTTTATTAAAAGTGATTGATTTTTCGCATGGGACATTATTATTTAATGCATCAGACATAGTACTTTTAGAGTTTTATCACTAATGAAAATAGAAAAGCATTTCGTTGTTGTCGTAGAAAATGCGCACTCGACCAATATTTTGCTAACAAAATGTCATGCAGTGTCAAATATGACACTGTTTTTGGTGTCAATATATTTTATATTTAATTACAGAAAATTTTTGAAACTTGTTATATAGTAACAATAATGATTAAGCGAGGATTCAGTCACAACATCTTTCTTTTTCGAGAAAAATTCGCCGAAAAAAAACGATTAAAAAATTAAGATATTCTGAAATGTCAATCCATCATCGATGCACTTCTCAGAAACTTCTTCTTAAGATTACAGAGTTACTAAAATAAAAAATAATTAAATTAGTTATCTGTAGACAGACTATATAATTATTATTTTTTTCTGTATCAACATAGAATTAAAAGTGAAAGCTTTGGGTATTATTTTTCTGCGCAAATACATGAAAAGATTTTTATTCGGATTTTTATCTCGTTGTACTAAAATGAGATTATGCTTTGTCATTGATTACTAGAAAAGAAAAAAACATTGCATTTATATCATGCAAGTGTTCATTGTAATACAAAGAGTATTTGTTGTATATTAAACGATCTGAATCTATCATAAATTTATCTATTCCCACTTGACTATTATTTCATTTTTTTTTATCAAAAAACAATCTACTCTTCTGTCGCTATAAGATTGATGATGTGCATTGATTTTGCTTGATAATACGATATAGCATTAAAAAGGCAACAATAATACATTTTCATATGAAAAAGAAAATCAATTAGTATCAAATTTCATCTGTTTATTTTTTCTTTACATTATCAAGCACAAAAAAAAATTCAAATATACACAAATGAATTGAAACACTACTTTAATTTACAAGTAGTCATCAATAAAAAAAATGATAATACATCCTAAAAAGTATTTTAGTCATTTAGCGAAACCGTTATCATATATAATTTGATCAGACAAGAAACAGAATGACTGAAATATTTTATCTATTCTATAAACATTTTCTAATACAACGTTCTTCTCCCATAATTGACCATCGACGACATAAACATCGACCTGAACAACATTGTTCATCATGTGAACATGTATTTGATGATAATCGACATGATTCTCCTAAAATAAATCATATTTATCTTTAAAAAAAACATTTGATACGATTAAATATTAATTTCTATGTCTACCAGCATATAATCCTGGAATACCATGTTGTAATGATTGTGCATAACGAAATACATCTGAATCATAAGATGTTTGACCAAATATGAAACGATTAAAACCACGTTGAAATGCTATTCGAACAATATCAGAAATACCTGTTGCTATAAAATAAAAACCAACATTTTTTGTTTTGCTTTTTAAGTTTCGAAATGTCTTACAATATGAGCTTTTTTTCAAACTACTGACAGGTGAAAATGATATAATCATGAAAAGGATAATATAAAATGTTGTAACAATGTTTATCAGTCGATGCATGTTGTCGTAAAGCAAAATTTAATCTTTACAATCTTAAATATATTTCAGATGTCAGATAATTTCTTTTCAGTAATTGGTCACTTTAATACAAATATCTTAAGTACATAAAAAGAGAAATGACAACTACTATGTCCTATTTATTGGTTTTTAATACTAGTTGAGTTGAACATTAGAATAGAAATCAGAATATGCTTCATGCGAAATGAAATTTTCGAGAGCAAAACAACACAAAGAGAGAGAGATGCTTAATATTTATAATTTTTTATTTTTGTTCTGTTCGTTGTTCTGTAAAGAAATGAAAAAAAAAACTATTAATGATAGGCTCTCTCTATATGAATATTATAAGTGGCACCCTCACCCTCGGTCTTATTTGCATTGCGGTCATCGTAAAGACAGCATTGGTTTCGCATGAATACGATAAATAAACGAACGAACTGAGAATTGGTTGGTTACTATGAAATAGAAATAACAGAACACTATTGGCTTTTATTCTGTTCCTAGATGCGAGAAATATCACAATTTTATGTTCGTTCTATGCAAAATAATTCACAGGTTGTAAATAGAAAAAAAAACATTCTGATAAATACGTGACATCTGAATCTAGCCAACAAGAATGAAAATTTTCGGAGAGTGTGAGGTTGAAAGAACATGCATTACTTTTATCTTTGCAAATAGCGAGCGAAAACGAATAGAATGTGATATTTACTTGGGTATACTAAAGAAAAAAGAAGTACAAACAAATAAATAGAACTCAAGATGGCCTGTCAATGTTTTTTTTGTGTCTTTGAATAAACAGGAAGAAAATGATGTTATTCACGGATAGTAGTTCTAAATTAAATCTTCTTTGATCAATCATCAATCGCATTGTTGAAAGTCATTGCCTTACATTTACTGAGTAAGATCATAGAGTACATAGGGGCGTGTCACCATATTAGTTTGATCGACGATTAAGAAGAGGAGTGTCAGAGTTGTCTCATGTCTTATTATAAACAAATCTCAAAAGGGACTGGAACTGTTTTATTTATTTATTGTGTTTGATTACAAATCTTTTGTCTTTCACAAAGTTTGCTGCAATGCACAAAACCGGCTTGCCAATTTTTGATAAATATACAGAATTATAACAACGATGTTTGTGAGTGGTGATGAACAATAGCGAAAAACCTTAAAAGAGACGACATTTTCTCTTCTGTTACATCGAAAAGCGTGATCATGAGAGAACACTTCACTTCATTTCAAACTTCAGTAAGTAATAATACTTATCCAAGAAACATGAGATCAGTCTGATTTTTTTAAATAGAATTGGTAAGATTCGACTTCATCAAACAGCATGCTCCCATGCTTTATTGGCTCGTTTTACATTCTATATGAACAATCAAGTAGTTCATTGTTCACATCATTTAAAAAATATCTTGTGTTGATGTGAGACTGCTTGTATGAATATTTACTACCAAAAGGGTATCGATATCAGTTATTAATATTTTCTTAGATCAAGTTTCTGAAGAAAAAAATTCTGTTAATCATTTAGTATAATCAATAAAACGGAGATTTCTTCCAATGGATCGATAATTTTTATAAAGGTGAAGAATCTATATACCCCAAAAAAATATTATTATGGTTCTACTGTTATAAATTGACATAAATGATTCTAGAATAATTGTATCTATCATGCAATAATTAATACTTTGCTATTATGTTTTATAAAGAAAAAAGCAAAGTTCAACTTGTCATATCACATATAATTGCATAGTTTCTATGAATAATCCGCATGTCAATTTCCGCACGACCAAGCGTGCATACAGGTCGTTGCTCACGAGACAAACTATTCATATTCATATTTCGAAAGATAATAAAAACATAAAGAGAGAGTTGGCACAATAAGGTTTTTAACATCATGATTTGCACTTTAGTACTAGTAAAATTACAGGTAAGTATGCGATAATGACAATTAAATGTTTGGGTTCTTTTTTCAATATTTATACGTGCTTTCATCGATTCGTTAATCTCGAGTATACGAAAAACGATATTATATGATCAAAGGATGACTTTTTATGGTAGTAATGATTTTGGCAAGAGTATACCACTTTGCATTTAATTGATAATAGACTATGTTGATTATGAATAATCATTTTTATATACGTGACATTTTTTTTTTAAATGAACTCATTTTAATGAGATTTAAACATAGAATAATTATAATAATTACAGTTTGTGATTTATCAGATAATATTATTATTCATCTATGTATATATCAGTCTCTTCATATATTAAATAGAGTCACTTAACGATGATGAAAAAGCATATTTTTGCACTTAGCTGTTGAACTTATGGATATTGTCCTATGCCTTCCAGACAATCGCTCAATTTAATTTACGATAAAACACTTTCGTTTCTATTTTCTATCTGTTTGAGTTTTTATCATCTTTTCGAGTAGAAATATGACATTTTTATTTCGTGCTCAACTTTTGGAATCCTAATTAGATAAACTGAATAGCGCAGAAAGTACTTCAAGATGTTTGTTTGTTTTTTTCATCAATTATATATTTTTCCACAGACGGATGTATTTAATAATGAAGCAAAACGATTAAAACAGTCTGTCAAAAGGTATGTTAATTATTTTCATCAAAATGATATTATACTTATTCCGCCAACAATAATACTACTAAGTTTGAAGAGTCTGATGTTTTTTTTCTTTTATTATGAAAGGTTTTGTATTGACTTTGTATCATTAATATTAATAATAATGGATGTTTTTTTTTTGAAAGAAAAATTGTTAAACAAAGTCTTTTTGTTTTGTCAATTAATATATGAAAATAGGATTTTGCTATTGATAGAAAATAGAAATTTTAATTATTCATAAAACTATTTCATAAATCATTAAAAAAAATATAGAAATTTATTGTTGTATATAAAAGATTTAGAAAATAAATCGGATCGTATTCGATCACGCATGATGACAAGTGTCGAACTCTTTTCATGTACTATTAGGTCAACATGTTATCGGAACTTTCTGTCTTTAAACCTATTGTCGATTTTCTTTTGTTCGTGAAAAACAATTCATGTTCTTCTTTTTTTATAACTTTTGTTTATTCTCTAGAATAAGAATAGATTTCGATTTAGAAGTTAAACAATGCTTCTGAATAAATGTCAAACTATTCCGGTCACAATTTATAACCTTTTTCAAACTATCATGAAGACTACCGAGTAATAACAGACGATGATATTGAATTGAGACAAAGTTAAATATAAAGAATATAATAGTGTTTTTCAGCTTCCGGTCCAACGACAACTATTCTCAACAATATAAATAGGAAAAAAAATAATAATTAATGCCCGTTAAAATAAATGATTAGATTTGTTTAAGTTTGTTTATGCCATGCAAACTAAATAACGACAAGAACAGTAAATAACAATTTGACACTTATGTGCATATATACAAAGTAGCAATTTGATTATAACGAAGACTATTAATAAGGTCACATTGTTATAACAAAGATATGTATAGTTGATATTTTAATAAATACATATTTCTTTTATTTCTAATGAAATACAAATCTTTCCTCTCTTTTCTTTTTTCTCTATGTTCTGATAAACATGACGAAGGCGAACAATATGACAATCGACTAGTACAAGAAAGTTAAAACGGAAGTCAATAATCAATCTAGCATTCGTGCATGTCTTAACTATGTGCTTGTTATACTAGTCATTGTCATCATTATTGTTTGTTACTAGTGTAGTGATTATTTGTTGACATTCTTCTTTTTTCTTTTATTGATTCTGTTGGTTTTGCTCTTGTCGTTCATTTCACAGTAGAAATAAAACAAACATTGTTCGAAAAAAAACAATCATATCTTGATCACACTCGACACACTTACATAACTGACGGTCCAGTTCAATTCGGAATAAGTATACAATGAAAAGTAGACATCTTTTGACATAACGGTAAATTTTTTCTTTCGTCTTCCTGTTTTTGTCGTCATGCAATTCCTTCACTGAAGCACAAACGATAAATCTTGGGTATGTTCGCTCCGCTAGTTAACTATGAAGCAAAGAAAAGAGAGCATAAATGTGTGCTTGCTGTTTTTTCATTGCGAACAAACGGAAGAAAGAGTATGCAGCGTACTCTATGGAAAAATATCGGATGACAATAGATGGAAAAGAATGGAGCTCTATCCGACGTGTGTTGTGCGCTCAAAGTAATAAGCGACGAAATGACGGAGTAGACTAGGAAAAGAATAAGAAGAAGAAGAAGAAAAAGAAAGCGAACAAGCGCTTGAATAACCGTTTGGAAAATTGATTTTTATAAATAATTGAGCAAAGAGGAAGTATAAGAAGAAAGAAAGCACAAGAGCGATGCTCTTTGTGTTGCGTGAATGGCTTTTCGAGATCAGCATTTGACACAAAATATTTTTCTGTTACGTTAATGCTTTAAAAATAGACGCATTGGTGCATTACAATACTACTATGTTATGTAAATAGGATATTCTCGAACATTTTTTGTTCATTTATTTAATTGGGTTTGTACATGTGACACTTATCGAGATGCCTACGAGAGCACATATATACTACAACTGTTAATGTTCTAATGCGAGGGTCATATTCCCTAAAGGCAAAAAGACATAAAAAGCAGCAGAGAGTTAGCAAATGAGAAGACACGAGAGATGCGCGAACAAGTATGCCTCTGGTGTTTCGATGGTGATACATTGATTAGATAAAAATTGCTAAATGCAAAGGCGAATAACCCTCTCTTATTTATCATTGTTCTTTATATATATATATATAGACCATATTTACTTTGAAAACATCTATTCAAGCATAGGAAATGCATCGATGTTCATTATATTATTTTATTTCTTTATATATGAAGTCAAAAGCATCCACCTGATTCAAATCAACGAACAGTTGATGTACTACACATGTGGATGTATGTATAACGTAGCCAATAGGGCTATAAACGCCTTCGAGAAACCTGTTTTATTAGAAGACTATTTTCAATCTCTCCCTCTCTCTCTCTCTCTCTCTCTCTCTTCATTTCTCTATCTCTTGGCGTCTCTTTCTTAGTTGTCGCTATATAGCTGATAAGGGAAAAGATGCGACATGAAAATACAATATTCCCTCTTGTTGCTATTTGACTAAGGCTCTTTCGCGTTCCATTTCTTCTCCTCCTATTTTCTCTTTTTCTTTTTTTTTGCCTTGATCGACTATTTCAGGATAATAACTACCGCACTAACGTGCATCATCATTTTCATCGAAAATGAAGACGCTCATCTAATCATTTTCTCGTTCATCATCATTCTATTTGCAATTTATCATCATCATTCCAGGATTGATTTGCAAACTCTATCACTATTACCGTTATATCTCGCTTCATTCTTTTTGCACATATAAACAAAAAACAAAACAAAACACAGAATAAAAAGACAAGATACTTTTATTTTCATAATTCATTATAATGGGTCAACGAATGACACGTCGACAAGTTGATGAAGGTCTTGAATTATATGCACAAAAAAATTATGATGCTGCAATTAAAAAATGGACAACAGCATTACCTAAAATGAAGGATAATCGTTTACGTTTTTCTACACTTGGTCATTTAGCATCAGCATCGCGTGATCGTGGTCGAAATAAAGATTATCTTCTTCATGCTGTACAACAAATTGATATAGCTCATGAACTTGATGATAATGTACTTCGTGCTCAAGCTTATTTAAATCTATCACGTGCAAATGAAATGCTTGCTGATTACTTTAAAGCTGTAAGTTATTCGCGTTTAGCTATACAATATTCGCAAACAACAGATTCTATACAAGGTTATGCTTTACTTGCTATGGCCGATTCTTATATAGGTTTATGTAATTTTCCAAAAGTACTTGAATGTCTTGATAAAGCTTTAAGTATTTCACATGAAAATGAAGATCATTTAATGGAAATTCAAGTACTTAACACAATGGGAAAAGTATTCCTTGTATTAAAAGATTTTCCGAAAGCACTTGCATTTCAACGTCGTGCTCATGAGTTAGCTTTATCTAATGCTGCATATGCCGGTGAACAAAGTGCTAACACTAGTGCAAAATTCGTACGTTTAACAAAACTAAAATTAGCAACACCATTAAGATTAATGGGTGATCTTCAAGGTGCAACTAAATGTGTTGAGGTGGATTACACAAAAAAAAAATTTCTTTTTGAGCAATATTTAAAAAAAAAATATTTATATTTATAATAATAGGAAGCAATGCGTTCAGCATCTAGTCTTGGTGATCGACCTGTTCAAGCCAAGTGCCTCGTATGTGTTGGAGACATTCAACGTTCTCAAAATAATAATGAGGTAGACAGAGAGTCACACACAATTCTTGATAATGAATTTCCTCGTGTGTGTGTATATATTTTATATATATTATTATTAAATAAATATTCCAGTGAGTTCAGGAAACGGCATGCTTCCGTTTTAAGAGTTTTCATTGTCAAAAACAAAATGTCATTTATCATGTTGAAATGATTTTTCGAACGAAAAAAAAAATAGCTATCGAAGTGTAATTATATATATGTGAACTTATTTAAATGATAAAATTCCGTTTCCTTAACTCATTGGGACCTAGTCTTACTAGATTATTTGTTATCTTTTATAATTATATATCAAGGTCGCTTGTAAAAAATATGAAGCAGCCATTCAAATGTTACAAGATATGAACGATCGATATAGTTCTACGCTTGCCATGCTTGGTCTTGTTAAGTCTTTATTGGCACTCGATACGCATACAGAAATGGTAAGCGTTGTCTTCTACTTTTACTTTATATATAGACAATTGTCATTGTAATTTTCTATATGAATGAAAACTTATAATAGTAAGAATGACAAACAAATATTCATAGATATATACGAAGAAAAAACTAAGAAGAATAATAAGAATGTTTTTCAAATTAACATCTTAATAAGATTCTTTTGATGAATAACTTATTCATGTCATTATTGGTATTACAACCATAACATTTAGATTTGATGATGACATTAGTTTCATTTTTTTTTTAATTTTCGTTCATAGACATTCTAATGATAATCATTTCATTTGTTATCTTAAGCATAGGAGAAAGAAAAAAGAAAATAAGACAGATAAGATCAGCTTTAAGGGATAGCTTCTTTTTTTTTGCTTTTATTATAAGCAAATGAGTTAGACGTGCCATTAACAATGACAGTTCCATAAAAACAATAAGATATATTTACAAGCACGTACGAAATTTAGATGAAAATGGACAGATAAACTTTTTATCTAGAAAATTTATTTCTCTTTTTTTATAGGCATCTGAAATTCTTACAACAGCGTTATCAACTGCAACATCAATGGGAAATAAATTAATGCAAGCTCGATGTCATCTATTAAATGAACGTATACTCGCTGCTGATAATCAATTAGAAGATGCACGACAAGCATTTGAAATAGCACAACGTCTTTATCGAGAAATTGATCTTATATGTACGATTTGTAATACACCTATGGGTATGCATCCAGATCAAATACAAATATTAACATGTACACATGTTTTTCATGAAAGGTAAAAGAAAACTCAAATACATTTTTTAACATACTTATCTTTTTTGTTTTGTTTTAGATGTATTTTAAATTTATTACAAAGATGGACATATGAAGCACAATCTTGTCCTAAATGTAATAAGAGTGTTTTATATAGTAGAAGTTATATTGCATTATCTTTGTTCTGATACAATGATTTTTTTTCTTTTTGAAAGTTTATTTGAATTTGTTTTCTCGGTGAAATTTTGTAAAAAAAAAAAAAAAAAAGAAAGTTAATCATATGATAATATATTTGTATTGGGAAATCATAATTATTTATTTGGAATATTTGTAAAAACCAGCACCTGTTTTTCTACCAAGTTTTCCTTCAGAAACAAGTTTATTTATTAAATCACTTGTTCGAAATGATGGTTCATCAGGATAACGTTTTTGCCATCCATCAGTAATAAATTTTGATGTATCTAAACCAACATAGTCCATTAATTCAATAGGTCCCATAGGATAACCTGCACCTAATTTCATTGCAGTATCAATATCTATAAGCAAAAAAAAAAGTAATGAATAAATTATAAGAAATGTCAATTAAAAATATCACCTTCAGGTGTTGCATCACCACGTTCAATCATTCGTACTGCTTCAGCATGATAAGGTATTAATAATCGATTAACAATGAAACCTGGAGTATCCTATAGTACAACGATCAAATAACAAGACTAATTAGAATAACACAAACTTTGCAAGAAACAGTTGTTTTTTCTAATGCTTTACCAAAATTTAACATTGTTTGAAATGTTTCATCACTTGTTGATGATGTACGAATGACTTCAAGTAATTTCATTATAGGCCTAAGAAATAAACAAATAAATAAATAATGAGTTCATCATAAATATTTTCTATTTACTTCGGTGACGTTTGTAGATAGAAAAACTGCGCTTACGAGAAAAGTTCCCAAGTGGATTAATCGCTTTTGAATTGAGACTATGTGCATTATGAAGAGTCTATAGGGTTGTGAATATTCCTGAAACGATTCGGACCTATAGCTTATTGCGACCTACAAACGACATTTTTACAGTATCTTTCAATACATTGGAGAACATTAAAAAAAATTGATTTTCGAATTTTGACTTAAAATTCAAAATAGAAACAAGCATTGATGAAAGTAGTTTACGGTGAAAGTTTCAGATATTTTTGTTCGTTCTATTCTAAAATACAAGCGTGGTAACAGTGCGTCTTTTATATCATTTAGATACACCGGTAAATTCCATGTTTTTAATTCAGAACAGGAACAGATTAAATGACAAGATATTATTCTTGTTAATACTTGTTTCTATGCAAAGTTTCAAGGTAAATTTCGAAACTCATTTTTCCTAGTGTTTCTCATTGTATTGAAAAGCAACGTAAGAATGCAATATATCGATAGCAATAAGCTATAGGCTCAAACTATTTTCCGAGTATTCATAAGCCATTACGGTCTACATGATGCATATGCTTCCGGCACAAAAGCAATTAATCAGTTGAGGGACTTCCTTCATTAGCCTCACAAGATTCGTAATTCAATTGTCTACAAAATCACGCCGAAGAATTAGATCTAATCTTAAAAATGGCCTCAAGAATCTGATAGCACTTAGCTTTTCTAATTTGTACCCTTGTATAGCATGTAATAAATCGTATTCCGTTTTTTTTGTTCCCTACAACTTTTTTTTCTCGAGTATATTTATTTGTCATCTGGCAGTCGCGTCTGGAATTCATTAAAGATCAATTATCTCATCATATACTGATATTTAGAAGGATCAGCTATTTCTAATGAAAATTTACGATAATCATCACTTTGAATCAATACCATAGCGACATATTTCAATGTTAAGTTTGGATTAGTTTGCAAAAAAGTAAAATGAAAACTTTATAATAAAAGTTGAAGTCTGTACTCAGTGAGAATGAGTATTTTCTCTAAATACAAGATTTGCTACTTACTGCAAAGAAGCTCATTACTGTATCATAATGTTCTTTGGAAATATTTCGTTACTGCCCCTCATGAAAAACAGCTTTATCTGTTAATACAATAGAGTTTCTCTATCATGCCTTGCTCGCCTAAAACAAAAGCACCGAAAATTGTTTAGGAAACTTTCTCTAGAAATCGGTACATATTTTGAAAAATTAAGTGTTCTTCGATTTTCTATCGAATTGAACAATAGATCGTTTGAAATCAAATTTAGTCTTCTAAGAACAAATGTGAAACAAGATAAAAAGAAAATACGAGAATAGGGCGATTATTTTATCGGGCATCCATTAAATAAAAATCAAGTATTGCTTACACTGGATTAAAAAAATGTAAACCACCAAATTTATCTTTTCGTTGAACATCTTTTGCAATGTCTGTTATTGGTAATGATGATGTATTACTTGTAAAAATTGTATGTCTAACAAAGAAAAACAGATGAATATTTTTGAAAAGCGAAAAAGAAAAGAAAAAAAATTAAAAATAAAATGAAACAAACTTTGGTGCAAATTGATCAATTTGTTTAAATAATTTTTGTTTTATTTCAAGATTTTCAACAATAGCTTCAATAACAATATCTGTTGATTTAACAGCATCATTAACATTTAAACTTGTTTTAATACGATTTTTAATATTATTCAAATATTTTTCACCATTTTCTTGATCTTTATCAAATTTTTTTTTAATTACACGTTTTAAACTTGTTTCAATTATATTTAAACTTTTATCAAGAAATTCTTGTTTTTGATCAACAAGTATAACTTGATGATTAGTTGCAGCAGCAACCTATTCAGATATAATTAACTATAAAAGATTATTTCAATAAAATCTTGCTTGTGCTATTCCTGAGCCCATTAGACCACCTCCAATGACAGTCACTGTTTTAATAGTTCCTCGAAGTGAACTAGCCATCTAAAAAAGTAAATAATGTTTCATTGCTCGGTTACTTTTCTTTGTAAAGTTTTATTTTACAAAAAAAGAATATTCATTACAAAACAGTTACATTGGCACACGTGAATGTATTGTTGCTGGTCTACGACAATAAAAACATTCTTCATGTTGTTGTTGAGTTAATTTTGCAAAACATTCACCACACATTGGACCGTGTCGACAAGGAGCATATTCATATGTAGCTACATTTCCATAACATATATGACAACTATCTTCAATTATATCCATATTATTCGTTGTTAAACGTAAGGGATTTGGACTTGTCGTTGATGGTATTCGTGAATTAATTCGTTTTGCTGGTACACGGTTACTTTTATTTAGTGATGGACCTTAAATTTTGATTATATGAATATAAACGGATCGTGCAAAAGTTTTGCATTGATGTTCTTTTCACTATAGCATGACAACAACTTGTCCTAGAGACCTTGATAGTTTTCTTGTAAGAAAGAGTAAAGTCTCGAACTAGAAAGCTGTGTAGAATTACTGTATTCAAAACACTCACTGATGACTGAAAAGTTCTTTTCAGACTTCTGAAATTTAGAAGAAAGTGTCCAGCCATTAAAAAATTTCCTTCTATTTTCTGTGTTTACCGCGCTCTATAGTGCTTCGATGCAGCATTGCTAACAGATAAAAATAAAGTTCTTCAAGTTATTAGCTAATAAGGGAACCTCATTAGATGTCAAGTCACATGTGGATCAAGACGCTTTTCATTCGATGAGTACTAGATAGTAATACAAAAATTTAGAATAGTGTGATTTTTCGGGTCTTTGCACTCGTGATATCGAACTTTTGCTGAACTTTCCGTCCCTCTCAGGATATGCAGAAAGTCGACTTTTGAGTTTCGACTTCGAACTTTGTACAAATGAAGTTCTTCACGAAATTAGCTGATTGTACAACTAGTATTTTCTTTTTGAAGATGTAAATATACGAACAAAAAATTTGCTATTTTTTACACATGAGAGAATTTTGAATATTTCATATCTCAAAATAGGAGATATTAGTAGAATAGTTGCAACTTGTTCAATATACTTCTCTCATTGAGAACTTTGTTCATGTAAAGTTTGATATTGAAAGTCGATTTTTCAGGTGACCTGAGAAGATGAAAAGCCCACTAAAATTTCGATATGTCAAGAACAAAGACACGAAAAATTAAATCATTCTAGGTTATACGAATCAACTCAGTCGTATAAAAAGATTCTAATGAATACATATGCTCTTCTCACGTCAACCAATAGAGGTCAGTTCTAATTGAAAAACTCGGGAAAATGCTAGGAACTTCAAAGCGAGAATGTGATACTCTGAATTCAGTAGTCAACTCAATCCGGTTGCTGTCGATTCTAATCGATAGTAGTAGAATCTGACCACTAGATCCGATCGCCGGATTCCTGCTTCCAAGTTCTTAACATATCTATGAGCTATTCGGTCGTAAATCCATGAATCTAGGCCCCAAAGCATTGATTTGAATTCTTTTCCTTGGTTGAACGGGTTAGCAAGAGTTTTATTGCTGTTTATCACATGAAAAGAAAAATTTCTTTTCCTTCACATCACAATATAACTAAGATTATTTACTATAGAATATTTTGTAGTATTTGTATAACAACAATAGTAGACTTCAAAAGAAGGTCATAGCTGAGTCAAACATTATTACAAAAAAAGATGAATACAATATAAGGGATTTATTCTTAAGAATAAATATCGCATCAATCCATCGAAATAAATGATATGCATGATATTGAGCTGTGATACATAATGATCAATGAATATTGTACTCATCGTTCGAACGAATAGAGAGACACATCGGTACATTGAGAACATAGGTACATAAATTGTAAATACTAATCAAAGACAGCAAAAAAGAAAATAGGTATCAGATGGTACGAGTGCAAGAGAAACATTTTATATATAAATACAATTGTGATTTAGCATCCTCAAAATAAAAGTTCTGAAGAGATATTGCAAAATAAATATTAGTCAGAATTTGATCTTGCGTTAGTTTTATTATGTAAATTGATCTTATAGTAACAATATGCAAAATTGCTTTGAGTTAAATTGAATTGAATTCACAGATCTCAAAAAAAAAAACTGATTACTCATTTGAACAATCTCCACAATTTTTCGCGAACTCGATTTAACTAAGTTCATGAATTGAATTGAGTTACTCAACTCTGGCTCAATTCGAGTTTAGTGAACCCTCTACAAAATATAAAGCAGAGTATTAATAGACATTATGAGACAAAACTTTATTGAGTGTTGTAGAGAACATATAACGCGTCTGAATTTTTTGAAAGTCGAGAACTAGACAAAAATACACTTCCAGAAAACTATCTAGCCTCCATGATGAGTTGCTGCCATGCTATACTAAAAAAAAATATTTCAGAACTTTTTCAACATTTCCAGGTGTGTCTATAAATATTTAATCTAATTATCATACCACTTTTATCGAAAAAAATACATTTAAATTTTTGTGCACCATTGGTTTCATATTTTTGTTTTGCATATGGAGCTAAAAATAATTAAAATAAAACAATTTGATTATTTTAAAGAATACATTATAAATATACTTCGTGAAGATTCTTTCAAGACTCGATCGATGTAAGATGTACCACGTTTGTGTATTATATAATCACATAATGGATGAAATACTGCATGTTCTTCGAATGGGCAATCACTAAAAATTGAGTTAATTAAAAGTAAGAAATGTATTACAAATATGAATATTATTTACCGTGGTTCAAAATCGCAGAATTTATTACCACAATAATAACAACATACTTTACCTTCACCCAAATTAATAAAACCAGCATTAGCCATCGCTACATTAGACAGAAGACTACCACTTGGATACATCCAATCATATTCATATGATTGAATACGTTTTTCGTCTGTCGCATATGATCGATACTCTGGATAACGCATAAAACTTACAGTCTATGGAAAAAAATTGTTTTAGAAAATAAAGATTAGCAAAAAAACAAAATGTAATACCATGATGACATTTGGATAGAGTCCACCTTGTTCTCGTCTAACCCATAGGCACCATGAATGAGTTTTACCCATTAATTGTCCATTTGCATGTCTATGCACATGCATTGCTGTCCATGGTTCCTCATTTAATAGTGAACCAGGAATAGGTGGTCGTAGACGTATTATATTTTCAATTTTTTGTTCTGTTAATTCAACAGCACACCATGGACATTTAACAATAGTACCTTCAGCATTTAAATAAAATCCGGCATATGCAAGTTCTTCAACCTTAACTTGAGCAAAAGTTTCACGATTATGTCTTTTAAATGAATCTAATCGATTAGATTCGTATGCAAAAGATGCAGGAGGATCAACAGGTGAAATATCAGTAGAAGTAATATCAATTGGTGCCGATCTTGATTCCATAGCCAATTGTTGAAATGGATTTGTCTGATCAGTCAGAATAGGTGATGTCCATCGACCATGACTATCACTAGCAATAATATCAGTACAATCTTGTGGTGGTGTTGTTACTGATGATTCATGAGATATTGCTATGGATGGTGGCGATGTTGGTGATTGAATTGGTGAGGTGTGATCCATAAATTGTGATTTAAATGGTGTAGCCACAATTTCATAACCTTCATCATCAGATGCAGAGTAATCAGATCTATTCGGTTCAAATGCAGGTGAATGATCAGTATTGCCTGATGTCGTCGAAACAGATGAGAAAGAACCTAGGGTAGTTCGTATTGATACTGTTGATAATTGTGTATTATATGATTGTTGATATTCTATATCATCTTAGCAAAAAAAAACAGATAAGAAAGTATTATAATTTGACTTTAAGAATAATAATTACTTAATTTAGTACGATCATATAATACTTGTGCTATATATTTAAAACCTAATATTTCTTTTACCCATTCACATGTTGGATAAAAATGCGCATGTAATTTTTCTATATCATATTGTGGATATCTTCCAAAGAGTTTTTTATCATAAATCGGTAATGAATTTCCACATTGAAAACATCTCATACGTTTTATTGCTTAATTAAAAATATAGTTATTTAATAAATAATCTAAATAAAACCAAATACATACTATCAAGAAAAAATCCAGCTTCAGCTCTTTCACGTATAAAATTATCCAAAACTTTATGACGTTCTTTATAATTTTTAAATGTTTCAATTCGATCAAATACAGATTGATATTGTGGATGTTCTGGAAAACGTTCTCGATCTGGTATAACAATATTCGTTGGACAATGTGCTCGAACCATAATACAATCAATCATTGAAGATTTTTTTAATTGTTTAGCTAAAGCTCGATGTTGAGACATAATTGATGAATTTGTTTTTGGTTGAATTAAAACAGCACAATATGCACAACGAATATTATTTGTAGTTTTAAAACGATAAAAACCACATCCAGCCAATTCACGACATAAACGTTGATCACAATCACTTTCAAATGATAAACCATCAAGTGTTTGTAAACGCCATTTTTCATTAACACATTGAAAATCACCTGTTTCTGTACTAAGAATTGCTTGAATAATTTCACAATTATTCTGACGTCGTTTATGTGTACCAAATGCTGTAATACCGTAATGCCAATCATCAACTTCAAGATCACACATATAACATTTGACTTTTAATTCTTCACCTAAATAATAAAAACCAGTTTGAGCCAAATCTTTAGCTGATATTGGAGCATGATTAGGCCAATTTTCAAATGTTGATAAACATTCATCAATTGATTGAGGTTTAGTAGAAATTATCACTGGGTTTGATGTCATCGGATTACGAGAACGACGTTCTAAAAAATAATACAAAAAAAAGACTTAATTAATTTTATTGATGATTATTTCACTTACCTTGATCAGATACAACATGTAAATAACCAGCATTAGCAACGAATTTTCCACCTGCCTTATATGTGATAAAACGACATGGAAAAAATCGAGCATGCTCAAGTTGAACAATGTTTTTATTCGTATCATGAATTGCTTCTAGCCAATTCGTCAATGTGTTACCACAATAAAAACAAGTAACACCATCATTCGGACCTGAAATCTTCGAGTATTAATAATAATATAAAAAGTAAAAAAAAAGATCTTATACCTGAAAAATAGAATCCATTATTAGCTAATAGTTGTGGTGTAACAAAAGTATTTTCTCCTTCTTGTAAATAAGGCCATGAATCAAATGTTTGAAGACGTACATTATAATCACTAAAATCTGGTTGTTCAGCATCATCCCATTGTAATTTTTCTCCTTTTTGAGATGCTAATGGCGGATGAAGATCATCAATATTTGTAGCTGATTCACATAATAAAAATTCACAACGTTTACCAAGGCAAGAAACTTTGTTTCGATGTAATTTTCGAAAATAATTTGAAGCATATGTAGCATTATCATCTAAAGATGTTAAATCAATAGTAACACCACATTGTGGACATAGACATTTTGTTTCACGATAGATGAAACCAGCAAGAGCTAATAGGTGACGTGTTGTTGATGGCAAATTTAATAAACTAAATAAATTTAATAAAACTTATTACATGAATGATGCATATAATTACCTAGAAAATGTTTCAAATCGATATTTTTCTGATGCAATTATATGATCAATAACAGGCGTCTCTAATACTGATGTCGTCATTATTAGCACATTTAGTATACTCTCACATTATCAATTGATAAATCGTTAAATTTCAAAATATTTGATAGTCTAAAAGTAGATATAGAAAAATACATTATTGATTATTATATATATATATTTTTCTTTCAACCAGGGAAAAAGACATTTGTGTCAATAAATATGATTTACGTTTTCTTCGTTCTTTATATATATATATATGTCAGTCAATGTAAAATCCTTCGAAACAAACATACATGGATAAATTCAATTTTTTTTATTTTCTTGCTGACAAATCATTTTCTTCTACCTTTTTCGTAAACGTGACATCATTAGTCTTCAAATACTTAGAGAAAGAAAAACTATCATAAGTGTTATTCTTCTTCCTCTGCTTTCTCTCCCAACATTCATATTTAACAAATATCAAACTGAATAACAACAACAAAAATAATTTATTCATTTGAATAAAGAGTCTTAATATTCTAGAATAAATATTGCATTTCTCTAGTCGTACGACGCATAGGTTTGGTTTAGGGATCTATTTAATTAATAGTTGTCTACACAAATACTCATTGTTTTTATTCTATTAAAAAAAGAGAAAGAAAATAACTATAGATCTTGGAGTGTGTGTGTAAGTTCAGTTTATTAGTGATATATTGATTATAATGCCAAACAGAAAAATAATAGAAGAAGAGGAGATACCAAGAAGAATGATCAGAGAACAACATAATGAATGTAATATCTGACACCCATAGATTAAAGCGAACATATATATATACATAAGAGAAGGTTGGAAAAAATTCCATATACAACATAGTATAATATAGTGGAAAAACTCCAATATATCATGTTGGGAAAATTTTGGATATGAAACGGATATTTTCAACGTATGTAAATGTCCTAGAATTCTCTATCTGAACTATATCGGTACATTAATACGGAAATTTCTGAACCGAATCGAAAATTGATGTCCTTAATACTCATAAAATGCATTTTTTCCAACAAGGGATCTCCCCCAAGTGACATCCGCTATTCAAGTCCATATGGGACTCATAGGCAAGTTTCATTGAGATTATCAAAAGCCTATAAGGGTTCGTTACTATGGGTCTTTGGGGGCCAATTATGACCAGTTTACTTGATTTTTGAGTCGTCTTAGATACTTCCTGGAAAGCTAATTCACGAAGTTTCGATCTAAAATTTTGTCTATAAACAGGTTTGATGACACTTACAATACTCTAATAATTTCAGCGGAAGAGAATTTTTTTCTTTGAATTATTGATTTTTCAAGTGAACTCGACTTTTTGTGACCCACAGCTATCTTTAGAAATTCAATATGTTGACGAAGAAAAATTCCTTTCGACTGAAACTTTCAAGATATTCTAAGAGTCATTAAATCTATGCGCAGACAAAATTTTAGATCGAAATTTTGTGATTTGGTTTTCTTGGAAGCTACCTACACATACGTGAAAAATTCAGTAAACAAGTCATAGTTCAGTGTCAAAAGCCAACAGGGATGAACCCTTTTAGGCTTTTATCAATCTCGTTGACGTGAAAATCTTTCAACTGTTTAATCACTTTTGAATCTAGACCATATGTACTATGCCGACCTAAATGAGCTATGAATATCTTGAAAGAAGTTCTTACTCTTAGTTTATTTCTGTAGAGATGCTGCACTTTTACGCTATTTTTTTAAATGAATGCAGTGGTAACAGAAAAACTGATATACAAGTTTCGACTTGAAACTTTACATAGAGACAGACCTTGATGAAAATATTTTTTTGTCAAACTTTTGAGTCTTTTGATTTGCTTCTTTCATACAATAAAAACAGCAAATCTACTGGTTTACATGAGCAATGTAAAAGATACGCGTGGTTACTATTATTGTACCCTAGGATAGGAACAGCGACAAAACTTGCAGCTTACACAAAAAGCTACTACCATTAAGGTCTATTTCTAAAAAAAGTTTCAAGTCGAAAGTAGAAAATCGGTTTTGCTGATGTTCTTGAGAGAGACAACAGCATTTATTAAAACAATGGCATAACAGTGTACTGTTTCCACAGCAATAAGCTAAAGAGTCTGAACTCACTTTAGGTTATTCATAGCTCATTTGTGTCTACATAATGCACATAGTTTAGGCTCAAAAGCAATTATACACTTAGACGACTTTTCTCGTAAGACCTGCCTATGAATTCAATATGATCTCAAACCGCAGATGTCAGTAGGGATAGTTTCCGCATAAAAATAATCGAGGCATTCCGTAGTGTTCAGCAGACATATAATCCGCTTTATGATTTCTTCGAGAAATGTTGCTAAAAAAAAACATAACAAGCTTTTCCTGAGAGCAACGCCAAATATGACAAAATCTCAAATAAAGCCACAAGCTAGTTATGACATTTTCTTTTCCGTGCGCATCCATTTAATACGCTCGAATCTGTCAGACATGTCAAACTTGAGTTCAATTATTCAAGCATTAAAAGAAGAGCTTCCAATGTAATTAACTTTTTATATATGCAGCGCGTAGCATCCACGGAAGAGCCGCAATTCATATTTCTCTTTATGTACACGATAAAATCTGTGCTTATTTTATAATTTGATGTTAACGAAAAGAACGTACAGATTCGAACATGCATAAAAAGACATCAAGAGGGCGTAAATTTAAACGGATCACAAGAGATTGAAAATTTCGTTTTATCGTTTCCGACAGAGGCGATAAACCAGATGCGCTTTCAGCGGGATGACATAGGACTGAGTACGACGGTCTAACAACAATATATACTATCGAACACTACGAAGTACATGAACTATTATTAGAAATAAAGATTTTTTATAAGAATTAATGAAATAAGCGTTGGCTCAGTAAGAAAATTCCATAGACTGAAATTCTGGTTTCTCGCTTTAGGGATTATAAATAGATAAAGATCAAAATTGTGATAGAAAATGCAATCTTTTATTCAGTCAATAGAAGCAGCAATTTTAGTTATGTGATAATCATCCTCTTCGACTATTATTAAAGCTAGAGAATAATTCACATCTTCACGTAATCCATTCGTAAAGTACATAACTGTCATTATCAACATGATTGAATCTACAACAAATTTCTCATTGAATCTGTTTTTTTTTACAATATTTAAAAATAAAAACGATATCTGTTCATTTAAAATATTCTTGACTTCGTTTTTTTTTCTTAATTATACTTATACATATTTATAAATAGAACCGCCACATTTGATAAAACTTCACAAAGCAGATGTACAACATAAAAATCAAAACAACAATAATTATAAATAAATGATATACATTTTCACAATACAATAAGACACATTGACTAAAAAAACAGAACAGAAAACAAAACAAAACAAACTGATTTGGCATTTTTTTTTCTTTATACGGATTTGCTGATTGATTTATGGCAGTTAATGGTGGGTAAAAGAGAACAAAAAAAATAAAACAACTAGCCAGTTTTATACAAAATCGAAATGAATAAAACACAAATCACCGTTGAAAGTTTATTCTCGTTGTTGTTGTTGTAATAAATCATGAATTATTTCTGTTTCTTCAAAAATAAGTTGTTTTAATTGTGGTAATGGTAAGTCGTCAAGTTCCATATCAAATGTAAATGGATGCGGAGCTATTGGTTCATCCGATGGATCATAATATTGAGCGAGATATGGATGTTTAAGTGCTTCTTCAACTGTAACACGACGATTTGGATTAAATGTTAAAAGATAATCAAGCATATTAAGTGATAAATCAGATGCATTTGGAAATAATTCTTTCCATGGTGTTCGTTTACGAACAGGTAATAAACTGACATAATTACGAGCGCGTTCATTAACTAAAAGAAGCATATATATATATATATATGAGCAAAATTATTCGTTAGCGACGTGATAGAGTCCGAAAAAATGCTCTTATAACTGAATGAGAAGTTCAAAACTCATTCTCAATGGTACAAATCTTTCTTCAGAATGTCTAGAAAATCGAGTCTTCTTTTAATTGGGTCCTATCGAGAATTCACCATAGATACAATTCCTGTCGTAGAATCTATTCTGAATATTTTGATTTTTTTATCATACGGTTTGGGATGTATTCGCTAATTACTTTTTAATTAATAGTTAGCTGAATAGAGCCCTTCAGGTACTTTGATACTCTCAACGAAATTTTCTCATTGGAACATCGTCCGGAAGATACGAGATACGTTTTCCGGCTTTTTGTATTCGATGACTAGTGCACTTTACATATCTCTCAGGTAACTAGAATTCATCAAGTTCAAAATTATCAGGCCCGAACCAACTTAATAGGCTCTACAGTTGAAAGAGCTAACATTTTTACGTATGTCTATGATAAAAGAACTTATTCAGAAAAATAATCCTTGTAAAGAATCAAATTTAAATGAAAGATAGATATGCTCTATTTTGCTTGAAATAATTGACACATATTGTGTTTAATTTCTAACTTACTAATTGATGTTAAATCGCCTTCGTCTGGTGAACCAACTACATTTAAAATTAAATTTATTTGCTCAATATAATGTTTACCAGGAAATAGAGGTCTTTAAAATAAGAAAAAAAAAAGATTATATTTATATTTACTAATAATTATTATTTAAAATAACTTACTTTCCTCCAATCATTTCAGCTAGAATGCAACCAACAGACCATATATCAATTGGTTTATAATAACCACGTGCATTGAGCATTATTTCTGGAGCACGATACCATCGAGTAGCGACCTAGGCAATGTCATCTAATATTATTTTAATATTAATATAAATTTATTTACATATTCTGTCAAGAGACCCGAATGATCTTTATTCGGATCAGCTATTCTTGCAAGACCAAAATCACATATTTTTAAGTCACAATTTGTATTTAATAATAAATTGCTTGGTTTAAGATCACGATGTAAACTAAAATTAAATCGATGTTACAAAAAAAAAAAAAAGTGTCACTTCAATAAAGATTTACATACACATTAGCTGAATGAATATATTTTAATCCACGTAAAATTTGATATAAAAAATA